ATATATATAAAATATATATATAGATGTAGAGTTATACATGTATAGAAATACCACAACTGCCACATTCTCAACAGCAACACCAAGAAGAAGAAGGAGAAGAAGAAGACGGAGAAGAAGAAGAAGGAGAAGAAGAAGAAAAAGAAAAAAGCATTTATATTGCGTAAGCTCTGAGCACTATACAAACTATACTATTACCCCAGCAGACCTGAAAGCATTCTGAAAGAATCTCAACTTCTTGGGAAGCATCCAGAGTAAGCTCCCATTTTACAGGCACTAAAACACTGCCAAGATGGTTTGCTGTCTATGGCCGGGTACCCATTCCTACCTCAGTGAAGTGAGGAAAATTTGTGTGAAGTGCCTTTCTTTAGAACATATAGGGCCGAATTGAGGCTCGAACCCCCAAACTTGCAACCTTTCGATTATGAGTCAAGGAAGTTTTACCACTAGACTACCAATGACACTCAATAAAGGCGCATTCAGACAAAAGACCCACATCTTTTCGGCTGTCCATTAAACGGATGGACGGTAGCTGACTTGGGTCATTGAGTTCATTCCACACCACACGTTCATATTCGTTAAAGTGTCTTTTTCATCTGGGGCAAACTGAGGGCACGTCACTGGTCTATTTTTGTAATTTCTCCTGAATTGACGAACTAAGGTAAAACTCTGGGGCCTACATGTATATTAAGTATTTTTTCCAATCAAGATTTGACCAGGAGAATGAATGATATATCAGATTCATCCCTTTATTTTAGCAAAAACTGTGTTTGGAAAAATTAAGCTCGGCTGGACCTGCCCCAAACACCAGACTCAACAGAAGTAATTTCATGGCCCTTGCCAACCAAACTAGACGAATGGATGTCAACTCCCCTATGATGGGTACGACCCGGTACTTGGGTCATGCAAGTGACGTACAATCTAAGAATAAAACTGGTCAGTCCGGATGAAGGAAAGACGCGGACAGACAGACACGGATCTAGGGTCTTAATGCACAGTAACACACACACACACATACACTCCACCCCCTCTTACACGCACACACACACTCCCCCCGCCCCATACACACACAAACCCCCCCAAAAAAGTCAAGTCTTACAGTGAACCTGGCCGGCAAACCCCGGGCACTGGTGATCTTGAGCACAAAGTTGACCGCTTGACCAACCAGCTTCTGTGGATCCTCCACAAACTTGTCGTCCTTCTCCGTGTATTCCTTGCCCTTGGGGTCGCACGGGCACAGCTCCACCTGGGGGCAGGATGAGAAATAGCATTAATTGTATGTAAAGTTACCTGGTGGTCCTATTGAGTCTGGGTCTTTCAGGGGCCCCCGTCTAGGATCTAAGCTGTCTTCTCACCGATCTTTGCTCGACTGACTCTCACTGAGTGTCTATCAGACATGTAACCGCATATCTCGCGCCTCTCAATGTCACGTGACCCAAGGGCGCGTCCCTCCCCTAATTATACTGTCCCATAATAATAACAAGAGTCATGTCCCCTGACATCACAATTGTAGAGCATAAATTCCAGCTCAGTAACAAACTCTATGCACCTTAAAATCTATAAAAGTGAAGTGTGCTGACAAAATGAGTTACTTCTAGGATTCGAGCCCTATGGAAATAAAATACAACACGCTTATAAGTGAAGTTTTTACAATTTATAAGTATGAAATAATAAACAGCATGTTATACTTAATGAATATGGCATCGACAGAAAATCTATAAATTTGGCCCCTTTGTCGATTTTTGGCCAATATATTGATTTGCGAATTATGAGAAGTAACTCGTTTTGTCAGCATGTCTTACATAATATTATTACCCACACAGACCGGATAGCATTCTGAAACAATCTCAACTTCCTGGGAAGCATAAAATAAAATGCAAGCTGCCATCCACGATAAAATTTTCTGTAGGTTTGTGAATTTTTATCAAATTTTTTTTTTTTGGCTCAACACCTTTCATGCCCATTAAAGAACACATTCGTGTGAATTTTAATGAAAAACATTGATTAAAGGCACGAAAAATGTAAATGTTCAGTTGGCAAGTGGTAAGGACTCTCAAGTTAAGGAGATAACTCATGTTTGGCTGCCATTTTCTCACTAATTTTACCTCTGAAGCCAAGTGACCTCAACCTCCTTCATTCACAATAAATATCTCGACTTCTATTCAAGATAAAAGGATATTGTTTTCATCAAATGCAAGGCATTTCTAAGATGATACCAATAACTCCAAAGCCTCAAAATTGATGAGTGCCTGATTCCACCACGTCGCGACATAAATAAAGCAACAGGCAAATTTCAAAGGACACACAAAGCGGAAAGACGCATTGGAGAATGTTGTGACAACAGGCAAGATAAATGAAAAGAGAAGCAGACAGACTCAAAAGAATTGATCATCGAGTCATTGTGGAAACAGTGTGCACTGCTTGTGAACGGAAACCTCAATTGTTTACAATGACGTCTTAGAGGAATGACTTTCCCAAGATTTGATTTAAACGAAACTAATAAAAAAAACTATAAAAATTAAAGTACAGTGACTCCAGACTCCTTAATATAACTGTGCACCCTTTAAACGGATTCTGAACCACCGGAATTTTTTTCGAATTCAAAAAGTTAAATGGTTCGGAAGTTTTAGGGGACCAAAGTGACCAACTTGAACAAATATAATCTAATATATAGAGATAATCAAATCTTCATTTTTTTCTGAACGTTTTGGTGGATGATGCATGCTTTATTGTAGCTTGAAATCTCATCTTCTATATAATATTATGCTGAAGTACTAACAACTACTATTTTGAACTTAACTTGCCTCGACAAAGCAGGAGATAGACTTACGACTTATAAAAGTAAATTAATCATAACTCTGAACCACTGGGTGGTTGGCGGGTGTTCTGGTGTGGTTTGCTCCTTCTTTCCTATCAAAACAAACATCTATCGTCCTTATCTCTCCCCTCCTCCTTTTCTGTGTATGTTACTCTCTTGTAACAACACACCTTTTCTTCGGCACTTTTAAAGACCTAATTGTTTTGCTAGTGCCATAAAACTCTCACTAAAACTAAATCTAAAACTGTACACCGAAAGCTACAGTTTCCCCGCTTCGACTCACGTTCAAGAGGCCCACGTCTTCTCCTCTGAAGTCAGAGATCTCCAGCTGCTCCTTGGACTCAATCTGAAAGTTTTGTGGAGAAAGGACAACAGCCATGAATGATGTTACTCATGTTTTATTATTGGGTTTTTTTACAGCGAAGAAAAAAAAATACATTGTTAACATTTTTTTAATTGAAAGGGGAAAATTGATAAAATGATATGTGTTACTCATGTTGTTTTTTTAACAGCGAAGAAAAAAAACAACATTGTTAACGTTTTTTAAATTGAAAGGGGAAAATTGATAAAATGATATGTGTTACTCATGGTTTTTTTTTTAACAGCGAAGAAAAAAAGATACATTGGTAACATTTCTTAACAGCAAAGAAATGATACATTAGACATGTTGTTAAAAAAAGATATGTTGTTCATATTTTTATTGAAAGGGGAAAATTGATAAAATGATATGGGAGGCGTGCCGACAAAATGAGTTACTTCTCACAATTCACAAATCGATATATATTGGCCAAAAATCGAGACTACTGTCAAACTTGTAGATTTTCCATCGTTTACCGTATTCATTGAGTATAATATGCCTTTTATTATTTCATGCTTATAAATTTTAAAAACTTCACTTATAAGCGTGTTGTATCAATTTCCATTGGGCTCGAATCCAAGAAGTTAGCTTCCACATGTGTTACTATGTTTGTTTTGTTTTTTTACAACGAAGAAAAAAAGATACTTTAAACACGTTTTTTAACAGCAAAGAAATGATACATTAGACATGTTGTTAAATAAAGATATGTTGCTCATATTTTTTATTGAACAGGGAAAACTGATAAAATGTAAAGACATGGGGATCAGAAGGGTGATAACTGGGGTGTGTTCTTTAGCAAGACACGACAACTGTAGCTCAAAATACCGGGCGCTGCACGGTGGAGACCGACAGTGGCATGGTTGTAAACTGTTATGTATTTGTGTAATATTGTGTATTTACGTATGTATTTATGCATGTAGTTCTGTATGTACGTATTCATAATTACGTATTTAAGTATGTATATTAAGTATGTTTGCCATAGTAAACCAAAGTGCCTTTCTGAGACAAATAAAAAGTGTAATTTATTACTGATTATTTTATATGTTACTCATATTATTTCTGGAATGCAAAAAAATAATTTCGAATGACTGCCATCACCCCGGGAGTTGGAAACCTCACCATGTAAGCCATAGACTGCAGCCACAACTTGACACTGCCAATGTGGAACTCTGTGTTGTAGTCTTCGTCAAACGGGTCTTTTTCCTGGAGAGACAGAATTTTATTTATTTGCAAAAAGGACACTACAACTTGATTATCATGGACTAAAATTGTCTAGGAAAGTTATAAATTACGGTGGATTCTGCTTAAATAAAAAAAGATTAATCCAAAAAACAACCGTAAACTGAATGAAAATGAAATTTCTAATTTTTTCTTTTCTTTTAGCAACCTCTTTAAACCAATATCAGGGGAAAACTTTTCAAAATCCAGCAGTCCCGCAGATTTCAGTTAAGCAGACTCTACTGAATGAGGAAATATAAAGTTTTCGCAAATAAGGTGGTATTTTCCTTTCTGAAATGACAACTAATCTTCTTGAAAATGTGGGCCTCTTCTCCTCCTCCTCCCCCTCCCGTCTACCTTGGGCAGGTTCCACTCCTCTCCGTCCATGTAGTTCTGGTACATCTCCTGCATGACAAACTTGCGGTTGAGGAACTTCTCCCTGGGCCACACCCACTCGTGCTTCGTCTCCAGGTTGATCACGCGGATCATCACCTGATTGAACGACCGACGGAGATTGGAGGATTATGTCGTCAGTAAATCAAATTACCAATGGGGATCTGATGATTACTTTGGGAATAAATCAATTTACCATGGCAACGGAAATCTGACAAATTTATGTTGTCAATAAATCAAACTACCAATGGAGATTGGATGATAACTTTGTCAATAAATCAAACTACCAATGGAGAATGGACATTGTCATCAATAAAACAAATTACTAAGGGAGATCTGACAATTACTTTGTCAATAAATCAAATTACCAATGGAGATCTGATGATTACTTTGTCAATAAATCAAATTATCAATGGAGATCTGACAATTACTTTGTTAATAAATCAAATTACCAAGGGAAATAAGACAATTTTGTTGTCAATTCATCAAATTACAAAAGGAAATCTGACAATAATGTCGTGAATAAATCAAACTACCAATGGAGATCTGACAATTACTTTGTCAATAAATCAAATTATCAATGGAGATCTGACACTCATATTATGACTAATTGCGCTGCAAGTGTCGTAAACTCACACTAAATCTAACACTAAGAGATTTGACATTTATCAATACATAAAATAAATCAAATGACCAACACAGATTTGGGGAATTTGACATTTATCAATAAGTCAAATGTGAGGCATCATGGTGAAATCAGGCACTCATCAAAATCATGAAATCAAAGAAATAGGCTTTTTTCTGATCGTTGGGCAATTTCTTTCTAATTTTTTTTTTTTTTGCCTCGGAACCTTTTATATCCATTTAAAAACACAGGTCCCCCCTACTGACCACATTTCCCCC